AAATAGAAGTATTTTGATCCACACTCCATATCAGTAGTTGGCGGTAATGCACACCTTCMGTTGTTTGCCAACCACCATAAAACAACACAAGAAGAAGAAGAAGAAGAAAACATGCTGGATAGGGGTACTTGAGGACCAGGATTGGGAACCACTGATTTAGAGTATTACGTGATGTTTGAGTGTCTCAAAATTACAAATCAGAAAGAACTTGTCTTTTATATATATCATCACAAATAAACCTTTATCTAGTTTTACTAATGGTGCCTATTTTGATTGCATGGTGGTTTTAGATCATACAGCTTTGGTTATTAATTAATAAATAAATCAGTTAATAATGAACATGTGGTTAATATTAACAGCAGGTTATATCCCACTTCTGAAAATTAATTGTCTCAAGAAATGAAGAAGTTGTGCTCATTTGTTGTTTGTTGCAGAATCCTAAAGTTTTCCAGGTTTTCAATGTTAAATCAGTGCAATTTCTCAATACTAAAATTGCCAAAACTTCCTCCTTCCATCACCAATCTGGACAATCTTGGTGTCGATCTCTTAGTTGTTTCAAGCGCTGTCATTTGCGCTTCTAAAAATGAGCAATTTATAGTCTTGTATTTTTTTTGTCTCTTACCTAAAAAGTGCCAAATAAAATGTTAATGCTTGAGGTATGTGTTTAGGGTCTCTCTCAGCTACTATATCTAATTTTAGCTCAATATATTTAAATATAACTGGGTTACAGTCATTTTTTTGTGCTTTAGTCGTTTTGAATCAGGTTTAAAATGTAAAATCAGTTGTAGATGTGTGTTTTCTGATTTCTCAAGTGGTGTATTCAATTCCATCTAGTGGTTTATGCAAAATATTTTGCTAACAGACAAACACAGGCAGCTACACAATTGCCTCCAGATACCAAAACTCTAATCTGATCCAGCAGCTTGGGTACACTCAGATTAACACATGGTAACAGGTGAATAAAGAGTTAAAGTCCTGTGAACCTAAAGGTTTGGTTTGTCCGTGCAGGTTGGTGCGCCTGCTGCCTCAGTGGCCTGAACGAGGACTGGAGCCTCTCTCCCAGTGTTTGCGTGCCAGCGTCACTACAACACTCACTCACGGCTTCTTTGTTGCTCTGCTGGAAAAACACAAAGATGCTGAGAGAGTAAAAAACACACCTGGTGTTCAGAAAAGGTGAATACTGTGTCTTATTTGATCGTATTTTAAAGTTCCTTTTAGAATCAAAGTCTCTCTTTCCATGAAACACTAGATGTTTCACCTGCTTGAAAATGATTCAAATCTAAAAATGTTTGGACAGTTTTAATGCCTTAAAATAAAATGAAAAACCTTTGTTGTGGATTTGTTGTTTGCAGTTAAAATTGCTGCAGTATTTCAAATGACTGAATTTTGCTTTAGCTCGGTTTAAAATAATTAAGGTTGTAGTTTTTAATGTATCATAAGCACAAATGTTTTTTGTAGCTAGTTTTGTTTATTCATAATAATGTAGATTTATCTAATTCTATCAAATAATTTAAAACTCATAATAGTTGATTTGAAGGTAATTTACTTTTTGTTTCAGCAATGTGGAGGTGACGCCTTCTGATTCTTCTGTTGTTGAGGGAGAACCTGCAGCTCTGGTTGAAAACTCAGACCCTGAGGAAAAACTCACGTCTGCTGCAGCAGAGACTGAAACTTCACCCAACAAGAAGAAGAGGAAGAAGAGAAAGAATAAACAGAAGACGACAGAAAAAGCAGACTGAAATACTGAATCGCTGCAGTGTTGCATGGAGGAAACTTCCTGTTTTCTAAAAAGAATGAGGTGAATTTAAATGCAAAGTAAAGTTTAGTTTTTACTACGTCACATTTTTTGGATTCTTTTCTATTTGAGGTACTCTAAAGATTTGGGGTTTATCTTGTTTTCTTTGGATGATTCAAATATTTTCAGCCCTGTTATAAATGTGTCCAGCAGGGGGCAGCAGAACTATGGAGTTCAGTTTTCAGTTTCAAATAATTTTTTTCGGTTTCAAAATTATTTTTTCAGTTTCAAAATTGTTTTTCAGTTTCAAAATTGTTTTTCAGATTCAATTTTTTTCCAGTTTCAAAAATATTTTTCAGTTTCAAATCTCCTTTTTTCAGTTTCAAGTTTCTTTTGTTTTGAACAAACCTGATGACCCCAATTTAGCTCCATACAGAACCGCTGAAAAGAGGGTGTAGCTTGTTTTGCTCTGAAAAAAATACCTGTCATTTCTTCTTATACGTTTGAAGCAAGGCTTGTACTCTCTTGCTTTATTTTACAGGGCTAAACCAAGGCTAGTAGAAACAGATAAACATGTTTTAAGTGGTTAAAAATGCATCTTGTCTTGATCATAAATTTATATTTTAATTTTTAGATGAATTGGAACAGAGCTCAGTGAGCTGTTTATAGCTTAATATATTGTTTTATAGTCTGACCCTGCTTTACTCTTCTAAACATCTTTATCCCTGACCTGTATGGTATGTTCGTTGTTCTTCATGATGCCATTTGATCAATAATGTTTATAGATAAATATATGAAGTCTTGACAGTGGATAAACTGGATTTGTGTTTTTTTTAATGGAGTAAATTATCTGTAATTATGGGTTCATGTTTTCTTAGAACTGTATTTCCAGTTTAAGGAGCACAAGTAGCACTAATTTAGTTTGACAGGAGGCATGTCAGCGTGTATGTGTGTGTGTGTGGTGCATTAGTGAGGAAGAATACATTAGACTGACAGATACACAAACCGCTGCTTGGATGGGTGTCAGAAACACCCAGTGTAAACCCGCAGCACCTTAAGCGTGTGAACACACACACACACACACACATACACTGAAGGGTTTTCTTATCCTACACACAACCTGCCAGTTCAGTTTAGTTTTCTCACTCTCTCAGCTGACACACACACAGAGTCCACCTTTACACCAGACAGGCCTGTGATGTGCAGCAGGAGTTGGGGGTTAAAGATCACCCTGAATAATCACCTGAGGTCATCAGCTGAAGAGTACACAACTCTGGAAAAAAATAAAAACAAAGCAACTAAAGTTATTTGTGTTTTGAAAAAAGAAAACACGGAGCCATCAGCTGAACATCAACATGGTTTAAAAAAAAAATCAAAAAGGATTGAGCTAAAATCAAACTTATTTTGATATAAAAATGCTTTTTATAGAATAAACCATGTCTTTGTGTTTACAAGCCATGAATAACACTACACTGTGTAATCATAATGCCTACTTAAACAACCTTTAATCATTAGACAATTGTTAAGCTAACCAGCTAATGTCACCCACATGTTTATGGCATCCTGTCTTCACTCCCAGGTACCAACTGCAGCCTGTAAATCTTTCAATAGGCTTTAAATTATTAACACATTAAATATAGAAACGGCAGCTTTGAGCTCGTGATCCTCCAGACTTCAGCCAGCAGAAGACCGAACTACCAGACTGCAGTAAGGTGTGGCTCACATTTATAGAGGTCAATAAGATGTTTCTGCAGAACTGACATTTCAGGATCGCTGCCCACAGACCTGAAACATCTATCACTAAAAATACACCTGAACTCATTTGTCTAATAACATTTTGTAATAACACAACATGGAGTTGATTTGATTCGTATTGATTGTGTTCTATCCTCCCCTCCTCAAGGCACACCGTCCTGCATGCTTTAGATGTTTCTCTGCTTCATCGCAGGTGTTTTCAATTGATCACTGATTAACAGGCTTTTGTTGAACTGCAATCAACTGCATCAGGTGTGTTAAAGCAGGGACACTTCTAAAACATGCAGGACAGTGTGCCTTGAAAAACACTGCTCGAACTGAAAATGTTCTATTTAGCAAAAATTACATTTGTGTTTTGCAGATTTTTTTTGTAACAATGCTTCACGGGAATAAAACTTATCCCAGGCACCTGACTGGCAGTACCTGAGGGTACCAGAAGCTCGAAACAAGTCAATAGCAACAGAATAGATTGGCAGAGAAGATTTGGCAAACTTTGTGTGCGCAACCCATAAATGCATGTTCCTTACAAATGTGGCACCATTTAAAAAAATATTTAACAGGCTTTCCCAAACTTAATTTAGCACCAAGATGCTTAGTTACAAAGAACCAAACATAAATTTCATTACTTTTTGTGCCAAGTTTAGTTGCAGAAAGTCATTTTTAATTTAAAAGGCTCCAAACATATTTTACTCTCATGCGCATGACGAGGCCTGCTGTAAGACGTAAAAACATATCTGAATGAGGACTTTGAAATTTAGCTGCTTAGTCTGAGGCCGTGGTTATTTTATGCAGAAAGTTATATTGTGCTTTTCAGATGTTGTAGCCTGCCACACTTTGCTTCTGCTAGTCCAAACATTTAGACTGTAAAGATTTGCAAAACATAATTAAACCAATAAATGTCTGAATATGTGTGATTAGTGTAAAACAAGTCGGTCAGGAGAATACTGGTATGTTTAGTTCTGTGTGCCACGTCGACTGACAAGAAAGACAAAGAAATAAAAACTGTGCGGAAACCATCCCTTTATTTGTGTGAAGCAGTCCCAAGCACAACCAGAAGAGTTAAAACCAGTTAAGTGTTCAAACAGATCAAACCACAGATTCAGCACAGACCTGCCGGCCTCTGGGGAGAGAGGGGTGAGATTTAAACACACCGAGCCTGAGACATATGAGACAGAAACGATACAAAAAAAAGACTTAACTCTGAACCACATTCACTGCTTTTTACTCAAAAACAATATTGCAGAACCAGAACTTTGTATTTTTGTTTTTAGAGGAAAAGAAAACACTAACAGGGTGAAGATCTGTGAGTGAAAGAGTGTTTACTTGACTCGAAGTGATCAGGTAAAAAACAAACAAACAGAAGAGCAGCAGCAGCCAGGTGTCTGATCACAACAGTTAGAGAAACATCTTTTATTTGGATCAAATGAGGTGCTGCTTCCCTTCTTATTTGACATCCGTTTTCACGGTGATCCCAGGTTAGCACAGAGTCCGTCCCGGTGGCTGCTTCCTGCTGCTGCACACATCTTTACTTGGCGTTGGCAAAGCTGCTGAGGAGCTTCCTGACCGCCTGGGCGATGGCGTCGCGGTCGATGCCGCAGATCCGAAGCAGCTCGTGGGGCTTGCCGCTGCGGGGCACCCGAGAGACCGCCAGGCGCTGAACGGTGAAGCCGGGCTCGTTCACCAAGGCAGAACACACGGCCTCACCTAGACCCCCTGCGGAGCAAACAGACCCCGGAGCTGGGACATCATTCAGCTTCAAGCCTCTGTTCTCTTATAACCCCGCCTCCTGTCAGATTCAGTGTCTGGAGGTGGACGTGAGGGGCAACGGGCCCGACACCACCCTCCTCTCACACCTCTGCTGTCACTTTTTACTCTCCTGATGGTTCAGAACAAGGATTCAAACCAGTTTTGCCCTCGGCAATCATTCCTCCTGCTCACAGAGGTCGTTATGATTAAAACTCCTCCTGATTTAATGAACTGGAAACGAAGCAGCACCTTAAAGCTGAAAGAAACCGCCAGGTAGATTTTAATGAAACTTCTTCGTTATCACAAATTTTTATTGCTCCCTGCTGCAGGAGTCGCCACAGCAAGACAACCTGAATGAAAGATTTGCCTTTTCTGATGCAATCGGGTATCAAACCTGCAACTTCAGGATTACAGAGCTACAAAAGCCCCTTTAATTTGATTCTATATTAGATGAAAAAAACAAACAATGGAAATAGCAGCTACTTTAACAAATCCAGACGAGGCGAAGAGTGCTTTTGCTTCTGTATGTAGGTCAGCATGAGCCCCAAAGGCCAGAGCTGAATTTAAGAAACACTGACAGGCTTCTGCTGAACTCAATATTTTCACAAAACGCAAGACACAGGGCTCTCCTGACTCAAGGAAGCAGAAAAATGGTAAAAGAAAACAAACGCCTGCAAAAAGACATGAACAAAATGTATTTTTTTTGCACAATAAATGTATAAATGTCAAACCTTCAGGATCTAAATGTGTAATATATATAATCTAAAACAGAATGATAAAGCTTCTTTTAATTAAAGTTGATCTTTTGATTGCCTAAATAGAATAAAATCTTAAAATCATTTTGCTCTTTTTAAGAATATTTATTATTTTTGCATTCAGACCTTCGTAGTAGTGGTCCTCCACTGTGATCACGCGTCCTCTGGTGGCCCTGGCGTGCTCAATGATGGTCTTGGAGTCCAGGGGTTTGATGGTGAACGGGTCTATCACGCGGATGTTGATTCTCTCTGGCATAGAGGAGAGAAAAGTAAACGGTGGTTTTTACAGGGTTTGTGTAGAAGTTTGTTTATTCTTTGTTGCTTCGTCTCTTTCTACCTTTTTTCAGCGTCTCAGCGGCAGCCAGAGCCTCGTGGAGAGTAACTCCCGCTCCGATCACAGTCACGTGATCATCGTTGGTTTTATAAAGAACCTTAAAGGGAGAGAACACACGGATCTGTACGTGGAAACTAAAAGTTCACGTGTTGCTTTTACTCTTCACTTACCTTCGCCTGTCCAACGTGGAAGTCTTCGTTGGAGTTGTAGATGATGTTGTTCTCTGGGCGACTTGTTCGGATGAAACACAAACCCTGCAACACATCAGAAATCGTTCACATCTCACAGTAATCTCAGATTTTTAAAAGATCTCTAAAGGTGGTTAAAAGGATAATACGAGTACTTTGGTCATGGCTGCAAGCTCAACAGCCTTCTCAGTGGAAACGCCGTCGCTTGGGTAGAAGATGGTTGCTGTGGGAATGGCCCTGAACATGGCCAGATCCTCCAGGCCCATCTGAGAGGGTCCGTCTTCACCTAATGACACGTTCCAGCAACAAATCACACAAATCAGGCAAAAACTAACTTCACCCAACAGCGAGTGAAATGACGGGCATGCAGTGTACCTGTTGAGGCGGACAAGGTGAAAGGGAAGGAGGAAGAGGAGAAGAGAGAGAGTCAGGCTGCTCTGCTATCAACCTCCATGACAGAGACAAAGACGGGGAAGGAAGACAGGAGGAGTGCTGACTTCAGAGGAGGAAAATAAACAGTGACACACAGTTTGGTAAGATGAGGGGGAGGAAAGTGTCAGGCCTTCTGGGGTTTCAAATACTGACGGGTGACTCGACTAGATGAAACGATCTAAAACATTACGGCCAAACTAATTCTGAACTAAAACATAAAAAAGGTCAGAGAAAGGGAAGGCGGCAAGCAAACTCTATCCGACTCAAATCCAAGTGATGTGACTAGCTTAATGTAGAATATACAATATTTTTTACATGACTATAAACATGTTAAACAGCTCCTAAACATATAACTCTGTCTTTTTAAAACCAATAAACCTGCAAAAGGTCTCTTTAAACTACTGCAATACACTGATTACTTTTTTCCACTGACAAGACAAAGAAGCCAGAAGAAAGTAACTTAGAGAAATTACATTAGGAGTGCTGAATGACACTACTGACATTTTAAAGAAGCTAAAACAGGTGTTAAAGCTAAAACAAAGCACTAGCTAAAACTGGCAAATGTTGGTGAAAAGTTTCAAAACATTAGGTAAACTTGAATAGTAGCAAAAGGCTAGCTAAAAAGTAAACGTAGCAAAAAAGCTAGCTAAAAATTGATGGTAGCAAAATGGTAGCTAGAAGCTAAAGGCTATAAAAGTTAGAAAAAAGCTAAACACTAGGAATGTGCGATATGGCAAAAAATTCATATCACGATATACATTATGATGAGTGGCGGTAACAATATATATATAGACATAAAACTTATAATAGAAAATAAATAAATCACATATTAATTGAGTGGAATAAATATGTATAGGTAAAAAAATTTAGTCCTTAAAATCTCCTTTTTTAAGGGACACTAAAGTC